GGGGGGGGAAAGAAGGGTATTCTTTCCAATTCTGGTAGTTTGGTATCTGTTTCTGACGGCATTGAAATTATTATTGCGAACAGAGTTAATTATCATTTCAGCCTTGATAATATAAAGTCGTATCATTGCGTTACGCGCAAATAACCAATTTTCTCCCGTAAAGGTAAGTTCGAATAGCGAGGAAAAACAAAGGTTTTTCTAGTAAGCCAGGTTACCGTTTTGTCACAGCTTTTACAGGAGATGAAACTTAAAATGTATTGGTAATGAATTGCCACCATTTTCCAGTTCCTGGTGCACACAAAAATCAACAGAGTTTTCCAGGGGAAACAGCAACCGAGGGAAGCGCGTGTACTTTGCGGACTGTGCTCCATAGGTATTTGCCATAAGTAGAGCTCATCGCTAAATTTATTGGGAAGATTTCTGCTGCCAGGTGGAAGACAAAAGAGAGTTTCAGACTGTGTTTAATTCTCTAGAGCATTAAAAAGGGAACACGTGTAATGCCTTCAGCCACGAGGTGTATTGCCTTAAAAGATGTAACTTGCCATTTACAACAATTTACTTTCAGAAGTGATTGTTCTATAACCTACACTTACTTGACTACAGTGGGATAGTCTCTTTACTGGTTGTTTATTTAAAACGCCACTACTAGCAACAATGCAAAGTAGTGGTAGCTGTTGTACGAAGTTTGCTGTTCAATCAGTTCACTCGGTGTTTTGGTTTTTTTTACGTGGTCTCTGCTCCTTTTTCCTCGAACAGATTTAGTTGCCAATAAATTAAAGCTTCTGCAGAAATGAGAGCAACGCTATCCTGTTTGTGTTTGTCGCTGGTCACACGTGCGAGCAGCGGAGACGGAGAGGGGTAGAAAAAGCGGCGTTTTTGCCACGCGGCGGTAATCTGCAGGAAAATATTCTACATGTGCAGCACGTTAGAGAGCATGAGACACGGGTAACGTTGCTAATTGTGGTTTTTATGGTTAAGTGGATCGCTGGAAAGAGTACGCGGTGCCTCATCCTGGGATCTGTTCGGTCGGCTTGGAAGTACAAAAGGAGGGCGAGCGCTTGCAAACGAAAAGCCCCGGCCAGCAAAACGAGGAGGGATCCACC